TGAGCAGCGTTCAACGTGCTATTCAAACCCCTCCCCTATCGCCAACGTTTCGTGCCTCGCCCGCACAGAGACAGTGGATTAAAAGAGCAAGCGAACCACGCAAATAATTAAATGAAACTTGAAACAATTATTTGAATATTTACATGTTCGTTTCCGTACCTCGTTCGTTGCGTTCGTTTGCGTTTGAGCCCCAAGATTGGCCAACGGAAACCCCCCAGATCGCCGCTCATCGGCGGTCCTCTTCCTCTTCCTCCACCTCGCCTTCCCTCTTCCTCATTATTCTCTGGCGCTCTTCACACTTCCAGAGGAATCAAGACGACACCGTCGCGATTTGCACACGGCTCGGACTTCGGCCCGATTTTTTATTTGAAAAAAAGAATGCCATAGCTTCCTGACTAGAAAACTTTATAAAATGCAGTATGCAATATGTGCGGGCTCGAGCCCCGGAGGGTTCCGCGCTACAGGATGGAGCCCCAGCGAGCTCTGCTTAACGATTGTCTGTCAGACACCAGACCCCGGCCCCAAAATTCAAAAACAATAGAATGGATTCCAGCTTCGAAAACAAAATCAAATGAATGTGCCGAGCGATTGTCTGTCAGAACCCGGACCCCGGCCCGAAAATTCAAAAAAGAGCATAGATCTTGTTTCTAATACAATGGAAAATGAATGTGACGAACGCTTGTCTGTCAGACACCAGACCCCCGCCCGGAAATTCAAAAAAATACCATAGTTTCCTTTGTGTAAAACAGGAGACAATCAATATGCCTAACGATTGACTGTTAACCCCGGACCCCAACCCGAAAATTCACAAACGACAGTGGCGTCCTGCTTCTAAAACAATAGAACATGGATCTGCCGAACGATTGTCTGTCAGACCCTGGACCCACGCCCGACAATTCAAAAACATATTATAATTTCCTGCTCACAAAGCAATAGAAAATGAATGCGCCTCCTCCCCCTCCTCCCCCCTCCCTCCGCCTCCAGCGCCGACCCGCCCGGAAGGGTCCGCCCGCCCGATCCAACCGGACCTGCACGTTAGGGCTCTCGCGTGCGAATTCGATTATGCACCACAATTTAATGCGGGTGCGTGCACCTGTTGGTGCGCCAGAGATCTTTGAGAATCTGGAAGTCCAAGAGAAGTTGATTTTTTAATTTTGCAATTTTGGTAATTTAGTTTTTGTAAGTTTTCAAATTAGCACAAAAGAATTCCTTTTGTGGCGGATTACACATTGATTTCTTTTGTCGCGCATTACACATTGATTGCCTTTGTGTCGGAATACACATTGATTCTTTTTGTTGCGGATAACAACGGATTTTTTGTGTGGCGGATTACAAAAGGATTACTGTTGTTCCAAGTTGAAAATACAAGAATTACAACAAATACGAACATTTGGAGAACAAATCCTGGACCTCAGGGACTCGCCACCGACCTTTCCCTGAGTTCCAGGATAACTTTTTTTTTAGTTTTGCAATTGTTGCAACGTTTGCAATTTTTCAAGTTGCACAAAGGGTATCGTTTTGTGGCGGATTACAAATCTTTTTCCTTTGTCGCGGATTACACATTCATTCCCTTGGTGCCGAATTAAGTTTGATTCCTTGTGTGGCGGATTACAAACAGATTTTTTGGTGGAGGATTACAAAAATCATAAATTTACAAAAATTACACACATTGAAAAACAAATGATCCAGACAAGCACACCCTCGCCACCGACCTTCCCCTGAGTTCCAGGATCAGTTGTTTTATAATTATTGTTATCATATTATTATTTGCAATTTTTGTAACCTTTGCAATTTTTCAAATTGGCACACAAGGAATCCCGTTGTGGCGGGTTACACATTGATTTCTTTTGTCGCGACTTGCAAATTGATTCCCTTTGTGCCGGAATACAAATTGATTCTTTTTATTGTGGATTACACAAGGATTTTTTTTGTGGCGGATTGCACAATGATTGCTTTTGTTTCAATTTGAAGAATTCAAAAGTTACAGAAATTACAAAAATTAAATAAAACAGTTGATCCAGGACCTCAGGGACTCGCTACGGACCTTCCCCTGAGTTCCAGGATAATTTGTTGTTGTTTTTATGTTTGCATTTTTTGCAATGCTTGCAATTTTTCAAATTGGCACGAAAGGAATCCTTTTGTGCGGATTACAAGTATAAAATCAAGACAACACAATTTGAGAAATTGTTTTTTCCCTTTTCAAATTCGGTTACCTAGTACTACAAGCATCTCCAATCGGGGTGGGGGTGCAGACCCCCCCCCGATGTTCGCAAAGGTGAGGTTCTCACCAGGGATGGGGGGTGCGGTGGGGGGTACCGGTTACCCTGTAGGAGGAGGGATTTCCAGGGGGGAGGGGGTCTGGTTCTTGGAGGGGGAGTTCCGGATCTTGCGCATCACATCGCCCGTGAAGGACGTGTTTCTCACCTTCGCTTCAAGTGTGCCGCGTGCCGCCTCGTCCTTGCCGCCTTTTTCCGAACCTCCCAGAAGATCTCCAAACATTTTCGGGTGCGTCTGGGAAATTGTGGAAGCCTCCAGAAAACAGTGTCATGTTCCGAATGCAGTATCCTCCCTTCTGCTGCTCTTCCTCCTCTTCCTCTTCCTCCTGTTTATCCTCCTCACCCTCCTCCTTTTCTTCCTCTATCCTCCTTGTCCCCATTTTAGCTGATATTTGTCCTCATTCTTTGTGTCCTCTGCTCCCTCTCCTCCTCCTCGATCCTCCTCCGTCGACGATGCCATTGACGGCGAAGCGCGCATTGACGGAAATGACGACAACGTCAACGACGACGACACCGACGACGACGACGACGACGACGACGACGACGACGACGACGACGACGACGACCCCCGCGCGCGCCTGGCGCGGTCTGGCAGTCCTCCGAGCTGGTGAGCTCGAAGGCGGCGAACACGGGAGTGCTGGCCGCTCAGGGGAGGGGCGAGTTGGTGAGCTCGAAGTCGGCGAACACGGGAGTGCTGGCCGCTCAGGGGAGGGGGTGCCGTTTTTTTTCTTTGTTTCCTTGGCTCACGAGCGGCGAACATATCTATGTCAACGCCCTCGCAGTCTGGATTCCGGCACGCGTTCCAGTGGATACGCGGTCGCATAGGAACGTTCCGCGCCGGGCGTTCCCGAAAAGCGTTCTGTATCTATAGGGTCGCGGCCCAGGGGCCTGGCCCGCGAAGCCTTGCTATCCATCCTTCTTGTAGCGTCCCCTCGTCGCACTGCCAGCCGTGTCGGTTGGGCGCGCCTGGCATTTCACTTGCGATTCAAGCAATGCCCTTGATGCAGGGTGGGTGGCTTGCAAAAGGTAGCCTCGGTTCAATGATTTTCGTATCCATTACAGTGGAGACCCATGCCAAGAAACACCCTGCTTGCCTCCAGGGTGCCCTGGGTTTCTTGAGTTTCGATGGTTTCGCTATTGAAAGCGTGATGTTCTCACACCACAAATCCATGGACGTTCCTACCTCATTCCTCCTGCGTGCGAAACTTGAATGGCCAGGGCGGGGCATGGTGGACGTGCTGAGGTCTCAGGGTTGGGCTTCTTGTGGAAGGTTTCTTGTGGACTGGCCTCCACTGGGACTCGCGCGCTCTTGAGGCGGCACAGCATAATGTGCAAGTGCAATTCACTTGCAGCACCAGGTGCGGCGATTCAGCGCTTCGCGCGTCCCCACAACTCCCGTCATCGGTGGCGAAAGATCATTTGTTCTTATCGTTTCTGGTCTTTCAGGGTTTGGTCTTGTCATGTCGTGTCTGTTCGTGAGTGGTCGTATCTAGTCTGGTCGGCCCTTGTGGTCCGGTCAGGTTTCGTACGATCTAGTGTAGCATCGTATTGTATTGTCTTGTTGTGCTTTGTGTGATGTGTCTCGGTCTGCTGTGTGCTCGGACAGGTAAGATGAGGATGCGCAGGATGAACGGGCGACAGAGCAATACCATGACGTATCTAGTGGGACCCCCTTATTCAGAGACTCCCGCCAGCCTTGTGAAGCCTGTATCGGGAGTTTTCCAGTGCCCTCTTATTCCCCAAACAGTATTTGCACTCAGGGATTATTACTTGGGTCTCTGAGGGGTTGGACGGATGGGTCCGCCGAGGTTTTGCAGCGTTGCCGCCTCTTGGCCGTCTCGCTGGCGGCCGTTGTCGCTTGGGTGCGGCCGAAGTTTAGCCGCGTTGCTGCCCGTTGCCGCCTTGTTTCCGTCGGTTTCCGCTCGGGGGTCCGCCTAGGTTTTGGCACGTTGCCGCCCGTTGCCGCCTCTTGCCAGTTGGGGGTTCCGCCGAGGTTTTGCCGCGGTGCCGCCTCGTTGCCGTCCGTTGCCGGTTGTGGGTCCGCTGAGGTTTCGCCGCGTTGCCGCCCGCTGCCGTTTGGGGGAGCCGCCGAGGTTTGCCGCGTTGCCGCCTTGTGGCCGTCTCGGTGCCGCCCTTTGCCGCTTGGGGGTCTGCCGAGGTCTCGCCGCGTTGCCGCCCGTTGCCGCCTCCTCGTTGCTGCCCTTTTCCGCTTGGCGGTTCCGCCGAGATTTTGCCACGTTCCCGCCTCGTTGCCGCTCACCGCGCTTGGCGGGTCCGCCGAGGATTCGTGACGGTGCCCCCTCATTGCCGCGTCGTTGCCGCCACGTGCGTTGTGTGGGTACGCCGAGAATTCGCAACGCTGCCGCCCGTCGCAGCTTGGCTGCTGCTCCATAGCTTACACCGCATGGTTTTTCACCTCATCAGCTCACGCCCTATAGTTTTCACCACCCCTGCATAACTCCCACCTCCACAATGCAATGATGCACTGTTTTGGGGTCCACGTTGGCGAGCATGTTGTGCAGTCCTGGGTGCTTATCGGCAACGTAGGCTCCTCTTCGGGGCCTTTGGGGAGCGTTGGAGCCGCCTTCTGGGAGCCTCTTGGGGCCCTCGTGTGGAGGGCCGTTCCCATCGTCAGGAGGGCCGCTGGGAGAGCCTCCTCTGCTGCCGTAGCGGTCTCTTCGTCAGCCTTGGGAGCTTCTCGGCTCCACCACCTCCCTCGTCCGCAGCACTTTATTGGCTCAAGAGACACCTGTTCCACAGCGCTTCGGGCCGGCCAGCCATGGAGCAGCCGCTTCTGGACGGACAGCATGTCGATGAGGGCGGCAATGTTGCTGCTGAAACCAGCGGCGAAGAGTCAAGCGCGCAGGCCGACACGAGGGAGGCGGCAAACATGCCCGTCTATTCAGGCCACGCCTTCGGCGACGACCTGGCAGCCGTTCTGACGGAGGGCATTCGCCGCTACGATCCACGGCTGCGGCCTGGATATGAGCAGAGCCTGACAGACCGGCGGGGTGTCCGGACACGACTGCTCCCAGCAGTGGCCCTGTCGCTGCTGATGGCTAGCATGGCGCGCGAGGGCGGCATGGCGGCGGCGGTGCTCGAAGTCTGGATGGCGCTGGCCTGCCTTCTCGGGGCCGCTGCGGCGCCCGTCCTGCTGGGCGGCGCGTGCACGCGGCTGCAGGATCTTATGGTGTTGCTGGCCGCCGTAGTGCACACGCGGCAGGCAGCTGCCTCTGCCACATTTCAGGGTCCGCCCACGCAGCACCTGGTGATGTTCTGGACCGTTGCCATGCCGATGTCTGGTACTGGTTGTGAGATGCTTGCGTGCTACGCGGCTCTCCTGCTGGCCTTGCAGCTTTTCCACGGCGAAGCATTCGTGGGCTCATGGTACTTGGCCGCAGCGATGCTGCTCGCTGCGCCAGTTGTCGCGTCGGAGAACCAGGCCGCGGATTTCTGGGAACGAATGCAGCGAGGCAACGCTGCGCTCCAGCGTCTGCTGGATAATGCGGGTGGCGCGCACTGTGCAGTGGATGTGTCCACTGGCAACTTTGTGTCGTCCAGCGAAAGCTTCCAGCTGATTTTCGGCGCACCTGCCGAGCCGGGCCAGAGCATCGCCGATCTCGCGATCTCCCCACATGACAAGGACGGGTTGGGCCAGCTCCTGCGAACCTCTCGCGTGGCGGCCAGCGCCTCCTCGCTGGAGCCCCTCTTCGTGGCTTCGCTGCGCCTGCCCGGGGGGCCCTCTGCGGGTGCGGTCGCAGCGCGCCTGGTTCCTTACAGCCTGTCCGACGGCCGCCTGCACATCCTCGTACAGGTGCAGTCCGGGGAGGGCCAGGGCAACCGGGTCTGGGTCAAGGAGCAGGCAGTGGCAGAGCGAGAGACGAGGTGTGCGGCGCTGGAGCGGGCCCTCGCCGCACGCGACGCGTGCATGAGCGAGCAAGAGAAAGCCCTGAGCGAGATGCACGAGCTCTTCGAGCGACGCCAGGGACAGCGACTGCCAGACCGGCCCCCGACGGGCACCTTGTGATGCGCCACGGATGAAGCCCCTGGGGTCGCCGACCGCCAGGCTTGCCGGTGCCGACGGCTGGATGCCATGCGGCCTCCCCGCCACTGGGCCGTCGGCCCGGTCGTCGCGCCCGCACCGCCCGACGTCTCGCACCACCAGGATTCTCGGCGTCGAGACCACGCCGGCGACGGCAGGCAGCAGAGGCACTCCAACTGCGCTGCGGAAGGAGCTCGGGCGCGCAGGCAGGCCAGCCAGCACCGAGCGAGCACTTCGGACGCTGGGCACGGCGAGTGAAGGCTGCCGGTCCTCGCCGAGGCGCGCGCAGACGGTGTTCCCTTCCTCGGAGGAGGAGAGGCATGGATCACCGCTTCCGTGAAGCCATCGGAGGGGGGACCGATCCCTGGGTGGTGGCACGCCTGAGCGTCGCCATGCGCTGGGTGACGCCCGGGCGTTTCCACCGCCCACGGGTCGGCCCCTCAAGGCTAGGTTCTCGGTGGCGGTGGTCCATGTTTCTCTTCCGCCTTCCCTCCAGTCCTGTGACGTCTGTTTTTTCACGACGTGCGCGCGTTGTGCTCTCGAGCCCACCCGTGGTGGCGGCTCCGCGCCGCGGGTCGCTTGAGTGTAGCGCCCCCAAGAACGGCTGAAGTCTGCAGCGTGACGCCGAAAACGCCCGTGGTATTTTCTTCCGCACGCCTCTTTCCTCCCCAAACCTCCCCCCTCAGGGGCAATGTAAGGCAGGCTCAGGGGGGGATGCATCGACCCCCAATCGCTCATTCATCGCCGAAGTGGGCCTGATAGCCCAACCCGCCCAGCAGCGCGGGGTTCCGCCGTCGTAGGCCTGTCTCCGATCTATCGGCGTTGTGTCACCGATTCCACGTCGTTGTTTCCCCCCCTGAGCCGACCCCCCTATCGTTGCCCCCCCCGCGACGCCAGAGGTCTGGGCACCTCCCACCCCCCCTCCCCCTGGCGTGGTGGCACGTGTCCAAGTTGCCGAAGCGGCGCCCGAGCAATACCATAGCGTAGCCGCAGCCTGCAGAGGGCAGGTGGCGGCGGCATCGGTGCCGCCGTATTGAAGCTCTCCCCGAGCTCTCGATGCTGGAAGGGGTGTTCGACACCGCCCCTGAACGACGACAGCGAGACTGAAAGCTTTGGCTTTCTGTCATTATGCTAGTGCCTCCAATAACACCTGGGATTCCTCAGAACCCCGAGAACCGCCCCTGGGACCCGCCCCCAAACCCTTCTCCTCCTCCTCCTCCTCCTCCTCCTCCTCGCCATGCTCGCTCGAACCGCACTGGCCCTGTCATCCCCATTACTTCACAGGGGCCCAGATGCATTCCACGGATCGTCGGACACTGCCCCCATAAGCGTCCCTTCCCTTTGTCTCTTCGAGCTGCGACCCATTCTTCTTGCCTCTCGGAGGAGGAGGGCGATGACGGCAGGACGAGACATCCGTCCCTCTCTATTTTGGCTGGGCCCCCAAAGACGCCTAAAAACCTCTAGGACCCAAGCGATCTTCGATCCTCTCTCCTCCTCGACACTCGACTTCCAGGACTCACGAGCGGCGAACATGTCCGTATCGCCCTCGCAGTCTGGACTCCGGGGCTCGATCCTGCGGAGCTGCAGTCGCACGCAGACGCTCCTCGCGGGGCATCCGCGAAAAAGCGCCCTGCATCCGCGGGGTCGCGGCCGAGGGGCTCGGCCCGTGAGGCAGCGAACAAGGGAGATTCGCCTACGGAGGCCGAGTTGGTGACCCCTCCTACGTAGCGGGGACCCCCCCTTGCGGCACTGCCCGGGGGGGGGGCAGCCACAGGGCGCGCGGCGAGGGGAGGCTGGGGCCGTGGCGGGCCGCATACGCGACGACGGCAGGCCCGCAGCCCGCAGTCGTCTTCGCCGTCGTCCTTCGGCGTCGTCGTCCTTCGTCGTTCTTGTTAGTCGTCCTCGTCGTCGTCCGTCGTCGTCGTCGTCGTCGGTGTCGTCGTCGTCGTCGTTGTTGTCTTTTGTCGTCGTCGTCCGTCGTTGGTCACGTCCTTCGTCCGTCGTCGGCCGTCGGTCGTCGTCGTTGTTCGTTGGTCGTCGTTAGCCGCCAGCGTCGACGTCGTCGTCGTCGGTCGTGGGTCGTTGGCCATCGCCGTCGTCGCTGATTCGTCGTTCGTTGGGAGTCGTCGTCGTCGTCGTCGTTCGTTTTTCGTCGTCTTCATGAGTCGTCGGAGTCGAGGCGAGAGGAGGAGGAGGAGGAGGAGGAGGAGGAGGAGGAGGAGGAGGAGGAGGAGGAGGAGGAGGAGGGTTAGGAGGAGGAGTAGGAGTAGGAGGCGGAGTCAAGCTGGCCAGCTCGAACAGTCAACGGCCCCCCCCGCCCGTTTGGGCCTATCCAGCCCTCCCTCCAGCCACAGAAGCACCAATGCTTTCGCAGCTGGACATTTGGGCTGTCGTGCGCTCCCACCCAGCGAACGGAGGGCGCTCGCGCGTACGCCCCACGACGCGGCAAGGGAAGCGCACGAGCCGCGCACAGGCGTGAGCAGAACTCGGAGCAGATATCCTGGCGCGGCGGTTCCGCAAGGGCACCGTTGAGCGTGAATGTCAGCTTGTGATTAACAAATGACTACCCCCCTGGGGCTGATGAAAAGACCCCGCGGGGCGCAAGCCCCTTTTTTATCACGCGCGCAGGGGGGTCGTCGCTGGCGCTGCCGAGGGGATCGTGCACCCCCCTTGCATGGCAACCTCAAAACGATTGCCTTTTTCGTATAAGCGTTGCTATAGGGGTCGTCCATCCGAGGCGAATTGTTTTTCCCCTGCGTCGTCGCCGTCGTCTTCGTCGTCGTCGTCTTCGTGGTCGTCGTCGTTGTCGTCGTCGTCTTCGTCGTCGTCGAGCACAACGGGCCTGCGCAGCGCAGCGCCCCTCCCCCCCGTAGGGCATCCGCAGTGCGTCGTCGTCGTCGTCGTCGCGTCGTCGTCGTCGTTGCCGTCGTCGTCGTCGGTGACCGTTGTCGTCGTCGTCGTCGTCGTCGTCTTCGGCGTCGTCGTCGTTGTCGCCGTCGTCGTCGACTACAGCGGACCTGCGCAGCCCCCCCCCCAGGGTATCCGCAGTGCGTCGTCGTCGTCGCCGCCGTCGCCGTGTGCCGTCCGTCCGTCGTCCGTTATCCTCGTCCTCGTCGTCGTCGTCGTCTTCGTCGTTTTCGTCGCCGTCGTCGTCGTCGCCGTCGTCGTCTTCGTCGTCGTCGTCGAGTACAGCGGGCCTGCGCAGCACCCCCCCCCGTTGGGCGGCATCCGCAGTGCGTGTGTCGTCGTCGTCGTCGTTTCGTCGTCGTCGTCGTCGTCACCGCCGCCGTCGTCGTCGCCGTCGTCGTCGTCGTCGTCGTCGTCGTCATTGCCGTCGTCGTCGTCGCCGTTGTCGTCGTCCTCGTGTTCGTCGTCTTCGTCGTCGTCGTTGTCGCTGTCGTCGTCGATCGTCGTCGTCGTCGCCGCCGTCGTCGTCGTCGTCGTCGTCATCGCCGTCGTCGTCGTCTACAGCGGCGGGCCGGGCTTGCGCAGCACACCCCCTTCTGCGTCGTCGTCGTCGTCGTCGCCGCCGTCGCCGTGTGCCGCCCGCCTTCCGTCATTCTCGTCCTCGTTGTCGTTCTCTTTTTCGTCCTCCTCGTCTTCGTCGTCGTCTTCGTCGTGTCGTCGTCGTTGTCGTCGTCGTCGTCGTCGTCATCGGGCGACAGAGACCACGACAGAGTGGGGGAGGAAGACTTCCCGCCTTGCTCGGGTCGGACGAAGGGCCGGGGAAGGAAAGGGGGGGTTGCGAAACCTGCTGCGCGCAGCTGGTTTCGGTCGCCCCGCCGAGGGGCCAGTCTTCGATGCGTTCGGCAAATCAGCTATGTGAGCTGCTGGACAAATGCCCGCTTGGCCACGCCTCCCTTTCGGCCCGCGAGGCAACTGGCGCCCCCCGTAGTTGCGGCCAGGGCGATGGAAGCGCATTGGTCCGACAGAAAAGAGCACGGAAAGTGCGGGGGCGAGCGCCGACAGCAGTTCTTTTTCATTTCGAACAGGTGTCACCTTGGCTCCCTGTTCCTGCTTCTGCTGCCTTTGCCTCCCGCTCTCCTCCCATCCCCCAGTCTGCTCGTCTGCTCTGTCTGTCGCCCTCCCAGTGGCGGCTGGGCGTCGGCGCTAATCACTGGCGCCGCCGCCGTTGATTTTCAATCTGGCGGGCGCCACCCCGCGATTCGCCCGAGCAGGGGGACCTTTTGTTTAAACGCGCGCCCCCCCACGGATTTTATCACAACCTGACATTGCAACTGCGCGCGACCAAATTCCCGATGGGATTGCCGTAGGCAAGATCAGTGTCGAAACCCTGCGGAAACGCCACTTGAGACTCTAGATTGAATCTGCGCGGCGCTCGAGCGAGATTGACAGTTCGCCCGTTCGCGCGCGGCTCTGCTTCCGACGACCGGGCGAGGGAAACGAATGCGCCGACTTCAAGCAGGAGTGTCACTTTCATGCGATGTTTATGATGCGCTTGGGCAACAGCGACATTTCGCGTGCTGGCGTGCGGCCCCGCGCCCGTCCAATGGGCGAGCGAAAAATGCGCGCCGCGGCAAACGTTGCCGCAAATGTCCTGTAACCTTTTTGCGCGGCGCTGAGGCAAGCGCGGCATTTTGCCGCCTTGTGCGGGATGTGCGGTGCGTCCCCTTCCTGTCACGCGTTTCGGATCGGGGCCGTGACGTCGGCGACGTCAAAAGGTCAGTGTTGAAAGGACACGCGCCGAGTTTGCATGTTGTGTTCGTGGGTGGGAGGTCCTCCTGCTTTGGTCTGCCATCGGCCGGCTAGGCGGAAAAATAGGTGGTTACCATTTATAATCCACCGTTCGGGCGACAAGGAGGTTCTGGGGATGAGGAACTTGCATGTTGAATTGGATTTCGATTGCAAATGGATGAGCATGAGAGTCAGTGTCGAGGCGACTGTTTGGTGTCGGTCCCGATTCGCATTGTGATGGCCATGTCGGCATGCATTTCAATAGGGGTTTCGTTGTCTTTCTCGATGTGCTCTTCGACACGCGCCTCGATGTTTAATTACATGTGCATGTGATGCGCAGTTCGATTTGAAATCCGAGTTGCATGCCGAGGGTGATTTGATGTATCACTATAGCTGCCCATATTCAGGTGGATGACAATGTTTCTTTCGTCGGTATATCGGCTTCAAACATCGAAGTGCAATCATACTTGCACATTGGGTTTCATGCCAAGGTCAACTTCGTTTGTACTTGAACACGGCTTTCGATTTGCATGTCCGTTTAAGCATTATATTTACACTCCGGCTCCACCGCCTCCACCGCCACCGCTTCCACCGCCCCCACCGCCTCCACCGCCTCCACCGCCCCCGCCGCCCCCACCTGCCCCCACCGCCTCCACCGCCTCCACCGCCTTCCCTTGCTCCACCGCCTACACCGCCTCCAGGATTGGGAAAACGTCCACACCCGACGCCCCCCCTCAGATCCATGACAAGATCTCGGCAGCTGTGGACGCGGATGCCTTTTGCCGGCGCAGAATACACAGGTTGCACATACATTTCTGGAGCTCCGCGCGTATATCTTAGATCGGCGCTAGAATGGTTCCGACAGTTCATCTTGCTGCTGTTCTGCACTTTTTTCCAGCGGTGCACACCTTGCCCCCGCGAGCGAGGTGTACGA